TGTTTGGAAGACAAGCCATAAACGTTACATCAAATGCTCCACAATGCGTTGGACCATCTCCTCCCACAAGTCCTGCTCTGTCCATTGCAAATCTCACTGGCAGTTTCTGAAGATCAACATCGTGTACAACCTTACACAAACCAACACAGAAAACAGAATCAGTTAAGTTATGAGAAAAATGTTTTGACAGAGCAGAGGAGGACTTGGTTTACTTGGTCATAAGCTCGTTGCATGAAAGACGAGTAGATTGCACAAAAGGGCTTAAGGCCTTCACAAGCAAGACCAGCAGCGAAAGTAACTGCGTGTTGTTCTGCTATACCAACATCGAAACATCTTGTAGGGAAGCGACGCTGGAAGAGATTCAAACCAGTCCCACCTCCCATGGCTGCATGAATGGCTACAATATCTTTGTCTGCCTCTGCTTCCGCAATCAATGCTTCCGCAAAATAGGTAGTGTAAGACTGAGTCTTGCCAGTGCTCTTAAACTGTTTACCTGTTTCTGGATCAAACTTCACAACTCCTAAACAAGAAAAGTGGATCAATCCAAGAAAAACATGAAAACATTTTAATCTTTGTGAATCAAATTTTACCATGATACTTGTCATCAGCTCTCTCTGCATAAGGATATCCACGACCTTTCTCAGTCAAGACATGAATAAGAACCGTTCCTATGGTTCTTGTGTTCTTTACTTCTTTAAGAATGGAAACAAGATCATCAATGTTGTGTCCATCAACAGGACCAATATAGTAGAGACCAAGCTCTTCAAAAAGTGTTGAACCGGTTCCACTAATCATACCACGAGCATACTCGTCTACCTTTGAAGCTAACCGGTGCATTGATCCTCCAATTTTCTTTGTCATCCCCTGTAAACAACATAATGAAAACTTTTTCATTTCCACAAAATTTTAACAATTTCACCAGCAAAAGCAAAAGAACAATTACTTGCCTTTGCAGCTTCTCTCAGTTCCCTGAGAGAACGATTAGACTGTAACTTACTAAGAGCACTGCTCAAAGCTCCAACAGGTGGAGTTGGTCCATCTAAGTTAGCAGTAGGCAAAGAGACTTGCCTGTTGTCGTTGAGAATCACTATCATGTCAGTGTCTAAGTAACCAGCATTGTTCATAGCTTCATAAGCTTGTCCTGCTGTCATTGCACCATCGCCTATAACCGCAACAACATTGTTGTTCCTCCCTTTCAAGTCTCTTCCCATAGCCATCCCTAATTCACAATCAAGATCGTTAAGAATCACTTTTCTTTCTTGTTTCGATTTCGTGTCACACAAGAAAGAAGAAATTTACCCAAGCCTGCAGATATTGTGGTTGAACTATGACCAGTGCCAAAGGAATCATGCTCACTCTCTCCTCGCTTGGTGAAACCGGACAAGCCATTGGTTTGTCTCAATGTCTTCATCTTTCCTCTTCTTCCTGTTAGAATCTTGTGAGGATAAGACTGTCCAAAAGACAAAAAAAAAAATAAGTCAGAACTTGTGAAAACTTTTTGCTCAAAATGAAATATATATAACATCACCAAACTATATAAACCAACCTGATGACCAACATCCCAAAGGATCTTATCTTGAGGAGTATTGAAGATGTGATGAAGAGCTACTGTGAGCTCAACAACACCGAGATTAGAGCCTAAATGTCCACCAGTTTTCGAGACGTTAAAGATTACATCAGACCTTAACTCATCCGAAAGAACTTCAAGTTCCTACACCATGTCCAATTCCATAAAAAAGCATAATCGTTTATTGTTCCATCATTGCATTGTTTGATGACAAAACAAAGCTTAGAGAGGAAACAGATGGATCAAAGCTTCGGGTTAAGAATTATTAATACCTTGATGGACAAATTTTTCATTTGGATTGGATGGTTGATTGTGTCCAACAAAGGAGTCGGTGGTCTAGTGGAATAATATTCACCCTTCTTTACAAGTGAACCATACACTGTTGTCCTTATTTTTGACTGAAGACAACAACAACAAAAAATTATTAATTAAAAATTAACAGATATTTCACATTTTTATTTTTGGTTTCTCAATGAGAATTTGCAGGATTGTCCATTAAATGCAAGCTCATATATAGAATAATCAATAAGTAGACAGATGAAGAATAAAACACTTACAAGAGCAACGATACTTCTCGGGCATAGTGATGGAAAATATGTAGCCAAAGATCGAGAAGAAGAGAGAGATGTAGATTTACAGTAATCTATTAAAGTTTCTCTACTTGTGTAGTAAGAAGGAAAGGCAAATGCAGAGAGAGCCATTTGAGAAATTATACGAAAGACCAACGACAAGAGCTATAGTTGAGTTGAAACTTGAAAGTAATCACCTAATTTATAAGAAAATATATTCGTATTTAGATTAATGACTCGCAGCACAAAATGGCAGTAAAAATATATATTTAAAAAAATATATATTATTGACTAGACATGTCACATATCTATCATGATGGATTGATGGTGATTAGTGGTGGTGGGTGGCAACAATGGTGAAGAGTAGATACCTAGAAAAGATAACTTCGTATTTTGATAAATTACATAAATTTTTTACTTTTGATAAAAATTGATGATCCGATGCCAATGAGGTGTATTTGTTTATATTAAAAATTACTCTGAATTCATCAAATAATATCTATTGTAAAATAAAATTCTAATTTTAAAACGATACTAAAGTCTAAAAATGGATATTTATCCTTAATACATATAAATATATTTCAATTTTGTTTTGGTTAAAATAACACATAAATATATAATCTGTTGTTAGACAGAGTAGTCAATCCCAATTAAATTTAACGGTCACAGAGGTATGAGTCTTGTGTCACAAGTATTAAACAAACGTTTAGAGAAATTTAGGAGGACTAATTAAGCGTACACTTAGAAGCAGTGGATGGAGAAACAAAAAAAAATATAGAGTGTGAACGATAAACAACATAGATAACGGAAGATGCATATAATTGGAAAATTTGTTTAGGCTAACCATTATAAAACATCTTAAAAGTGCACAAGGAAAAAAGCTTTGAATATGCAAAAACACTGAAATATAATGCATGTTTCACGTTGTCGTAAGCGACCCAAACTGTGAGAGATATTTCTATGAAAATTCTGTCACATCAACGTAACTATAGGCATAGTACATGTATTTTCAGATTAGATAGTTAATTACGTTTGACTAGTTGCTCGTCAGTAGTTATGTTATGTAACAGACAATAATTATAAGTGCCTTTTCTAGTTGATTTCTTTAAGTCTCTCGGTCAACCTCTCGTGTCTTTAGTCATCTTGTAAGTTGTATGCATGTGACTTTTCAACAAAATACATGTTCCCCTATGTTATACAGGCCCGTATAACATTGTTATATGTATTTTGTATGCATTGGTCGGTTGTAAGGGCGGCTACAACTGGAGTTGAGCAGAGGCCGACGCCGAGGTTAAAGCTTTTCTAAAGGAGGAAAGTCCATGTATGCATGTTTTCTTAACCGAATAAATATGTTTTGACAGAGATGACTAATTCTTTTATAGATTCATAGAAGTTCACGATCATGCAACAAGAAAAAGTCATAAATTGTTGGCAAAAGAAAACCCATAAATTATCGATGTTTATTATTACCTAAAAACTATACATATCTTAGGCCCATTTCCTATCATTTTAGGCTACGAAAATTCAAATGGCCCGTTTGCATTCTGTTTTTATTTTGTTTCTAAAATAATCCAACTAAAAATCCAATTCCGGAGTTAGCACAAAGTGCTAGAGCTCTACGTACTGATGTGTATTATGTAAATTTTGTTCCTCTGATCTGGATCCTCGAAATTGGTTTAGAAATAGAAGCTGTCGACCAAAAAAAAAAAAAAGAATCCAATTCCAATTACGATCAAGTTGATTCCACTTCTTTATACAATGCAAGAAAAATGCCAGATTCTTCGTAATTAAACTAGTATTGTAATGATTTAGATACTAATATTACCCATTTGGATAATGATTTTACATAGCCTAATTAATTCCGACCCAACTCATACTCACTATTACCCAAGCTTTATCCAAAATGAATAGACATCATTTTTAATATGTAGAACTATTATTACATGCTTGGTATCTTATTATACAAAAGTAGGATTTAGGTGTGGATTAAGAAAATGTAGAGTTTCACTAATCCATCGGCAGAAAGACACAAGTTCACAGGAGAACAACATTTTTAGATGGTAAAAAAAAAAGGAAAGAGCTCCAGATTGAAATAACCATAGAAGGTGATGTGATGAATCCACTCAAAAGCCAAGTTCCATGGCCGGGACCATCCCACCAGAGGCTAAAATCTGTTGCTCCAGCTGCGTAGATTTGATCATGAACACCAAAATTGAATCAAATATGGCATATCATTCAATAAAAATATATGGATGGTTCTTGGTGATATAGTCCTCACCTTAAACAGTGTCTCCAATCTGTTCTTGACAAGATAGTACTCTTGCTTGACTTGTTGCAAACATCTATGACATCTGAAAAATTCATCGATTTGTTTCCTCCTAATTAGATAATTATAATCGGATATATAAAGAAGAATAAATGGACCAACCAACACAACAAACTAAAAACTCACGCTTCAACATTTTGTTGCTCGCAGAAGCTGCGGAAGACAACGCAAGCATTCTTAACTCTTTGTGCTCCTATACTGTTTGTTGGCAACATCACACACTCGAAAGCTTAATCATTCACACATTTCGTAGATGAACCTTATAACATCACTATGGAATCAGATCTGAATTAGAAGTACACAATTTTATTACCTTGAGCTGCTACCTTTGAGTTGATGAACATGAGGATCAACCTTTTTGAAGTCCACAACCTGTTGATCTCTGCAAAAGCATAAGAACATTTTAAAGAACATGTTTATGATAGAAAGAGCAGAAGAAGTTTAAAAAGAGAATGTATAATGAAGATTACAGGGAAAGTGAGAGATCATTGAGAATCCTGTCAGTGTCTTGGAAGAAAAGAGAGACAACTTGTGAAACAAAATCTGGATTGCTTTCATCTTGTAGTTGTTGCAGCTGCAAGAACTGGCTGTCCAAAATCCCCTTTTTTACCAAAACAAAGAATATTTCTATAATCAGAAACCAATTTTACATAATCAAACCTATGATTAGCTTACAAATAAAAATACAGATAAAACCTAAGAAAAAATTGTGAATATTTTATTTTTTCCATTTTTCTAATGTAAAAAACTTACTTCCAAGAAGAGTGATTTGGTGTAATCTTGCAAGCTCTTCTGCATCTGAACCAACTCCATCTCTTCTCTGCTCTTTTTTTTTTGTTTGTTCTTTACTCCTCTGTTTCTCTCTACCAATAATGGAGGAAGAAACAGTCTACCAAATCCTCAGTACTTAAAAGATATGAACAAAATCCTCCGTATCAAAAACCCATTTTTAAAAAATTAAAACTTTATTTTATTATGACAGTTTTAATTTGGATGTGAGTGAAGAATCCAGAAAGAAATCAACTTTAAAAAATGGAAGTTGGTCGTGCTGTCAACTGTCTAACCATTCGCGCCACTTTTTACCCTTATTTTGCGCTTTCTCCTCGTTTTCTCTTTTGCAGATGTGAAAAGGACATAAGAGCATTGATACTTTCTCTCTTTGTCCTTTTTTTTCTTCTCAATATTTTTTTTGTAACGTCTCGAATTTAAAAATTACTGTTCATCTAGTGAAAGCATATATTATATGCACTGCCTCCATTCAATGCATCTTTCTTTCCAATAGCATCTCTCTGGGGAAAAAAAATTATAGTATTTTCAAATTGATTGATCCTTGCTGATTTTGTCCGACTAGTATTTGTTTTATTATAAAACTCAT